TTGTTGCTGCCGCCATGTCATGAAGGCACTGTGTGTTTCGTTGTGAAAGCGAAACTACTTTGTTTGGCCTTCCAAAAGAGGACGATATCCGCTTTGTCATGCCTAGAGCTGATCCATGCTGGTCGCTGAGGAAATACATCAACTTTGCGCTGTGGATCGCCAGATCGGCTTTCACCGTGGACGAAGTCCAGCCCGGGGTCGTCACATGTGGTTGCCGCAAGCCTGCCGGCCGCTCCTTCGTTGAATCCGCTGGCCGCCAATCACTCAAGGCCGCCGTGTGTGACGCTGTGTTTCGTTGTGAAAGAGAAACTACTTTGTTTGGCCTTCCAAAAGAGGACACGACTAGAAATCAGTGGTTAAGTTGTATTTACAACACTGTTCCAGAACACTTCAACCCAAATATTCAGATGTGTGCAGCACATTTTATGGAGGACTGTGTCCTGATCCTGGTAGAGTAGACAACAATGCCGGCTGTTCTGACTGACAGACTGTAAGTTTGTTTTTTTAAATCAAGAATTTGCCACTGACGATTCGAGTTTTGAGCAGTGTAGAGTAGCGCTTGTTGTTTGTCAGTTCTCAGATCACAAATGCAGACATGGTTTTATGGTTACACGGCGTGATGCAACGCATAAAAAGAAAGTATAAGTCATTATAATCCGTAATTATGTCCACACCGGATGCAACAAATGCCTCAATTATAATGGGTTTTAATGTTTTTGTCTCGTCACAACATCTTTTGTCTTTAGCAACATCATATGACCCCTTTAATTTGGACACAATTAATATAAAAGCAGACAACTGCATTTAAATAAAGTCACTGTAGTGTCCTGCTCAAGACCATCTTGGAACGAGCCATGCCTTTAGCAATGATGTGTTCATACAATGCAAACATTATCATTCTTAATATGCAATATAAATATGTTAAATTATCAAAATAAATGAGCAGCTGCTTTTGACGCAGAATTAGTCTCCGCCTCGGATTGTTTCCAGTCCTCTGTCTCGGATTATGTCCAGTCTGGGAACCCATCGAAGTCTCGTTGGATTCCACTCCCCTAGCTGGATTGGGTCGGGATTTCGTAATCCCCGTGTGCTCATGGCTACTCACCTTAATCATCACATTTGGCTTGCGACCCAGCTTCACTGTTTGTCACAATAAATCACTTTTCACTTGCAACTGGATTCTGAGTTTTCTTCCCGTAACAGCTGCTCAATGTTGTGAGAACATACTCGGACAAAACCCTCCAGTTTTAAAGTTGTTCCTCGTCTGCGCTTCAATTCGTTTTCTCCTATTTTCCACCCATGTTCCCGTCTTAAGCACCGCAGTCACGGATTTCGTCGCACACAAAACCATTCACGTTTGAACTCATCCCCGTCTGGCTTTTGATATTCACGGTTGATCTCTATAGTATAACTGTTTTCATTGAATTAACAATACTAAAACTATGGAATGACTCAAATTTTCAACTTCCAAATGGTTTTGCTTACCACAAACTTCCAGTGATGGCTACAAATCCCACTGCACCATCATCTAGTTTTCCTGTAAAGCAATTTAAACTGTTACAGTGAATATAATAAAACCTGTTATACATTTGCAGATTAATAGGCTGTAGTAACATACATAATTTGCAGACTGATTCATTCAAAATCTGTTTTAGTATTATGCCAGGCCTTTGAGTCTCTTGAATTTTAATAACTTTCCTCAAGCTTTGTCATGTAATTTGCTGTATTCCTCCGAACAGGATTACACCTGTGCTGTAGTGGTTTAGTATGTAAAGTCTCTTTGTGCTTGCACTTTTATTCATAGATGCATTTGTGTTGACTGAACTTGTGTAATGTGGAACTGTACCACTAGAGGTCCCCAGAGGTTCTATAGAGGATAAGAAAAGATGTAAGAAAAAGAAGGATGAGAGCACAGTAATGTTCATCCTCTATAAGCATTGTAGTAGTAGGTTCCTGTTTTGCATTATTTTCTGACACCGTAATTGTTGAGATATCTTGCTTCAAATTGCTTGAGACGTTGAACTTCTTTTCACTTGCTTGATCCACTGCAGTCGTGCCATGCCTTTTGGCCTTCTTTGGCTGCTTATTTTTAGGACTGGTACTGATGTTGGGACAGAGTAAAACTTAGACTGTCATTGGCCCATGATTCCTCTGCAAATTTAATGTCCTTCAAATTCAGAGGTTTTTGGAGAAGTTTTATGTCCATGCAGGAGTGCATTAACGCACATATGCTTTAAGGGTCTGAAGCCCAGAACTGCAAAATTATAAAATTATATTTTTTGAATAATTATTTATATGGGTTTATAAATATAGCAGTGACAACAGCATTCTGTAAACAAACTCACACATTTGTTTTCAGCGACGCCCTGCTTGTAGTATATGTAGTGAATGGTTAAGTTTAGGTTTAGTTGGTATGTTCCACCGATATAGTGTGAGCGAATACACAATGCGCTAGTAAAGAAGCCAAGTATGAGCGCTGTTCTGTGTGCGCGACTCTATGTTAATGTGCAGCTTAACAAGAAACACAAGACTGCTGTGTGAAAAGAACCGGACCGAACAACTTTCTGTAATGTCATACAGTGCGAGTTCAGTCTTTTACAAATGCGTGGATATTATCTGTGTGTAGAGTGGATAAGGGGAGTAGTGGCGGGCAAGGATCTGTTGCGGTTTCAAAAAAAGTTTAATGTATTTGTTCTAAAAAGGTTATGTAGTATGTCATTAAATTTAGTTAATCTAAGAGGTAATTAGCTACCAAAACTATTATGTACTACAGTAGTTTTTTTTTTAGATAATTGTTCCACAGAAACATGTTAATAGGAAATGTCAATTTCTTTGTTTTTCAAAGTTTTTTAAAGTAGGGTGTTTTAATACTAAACACAATAATGCTATATTGGGATACTGTCAAATTTCGAAATCAAATAAAATAGCATTCTGCATGGTCTTCAGTGTCCATGAGCCATTTTTATGCAGTACTATTAGAAAATAGAAACTTAAGCTGTGTGGGCAAATTACATAGTTCAGCCTGTTGAATAAACTTAATATTACAAGCGTCACGATCTGCACAGGGACACGAAGATTGAGGTGGAGCAGTATCTGGCCATTCTTACCCTCACTGTTTTTCTCTCAGCTGAGGCTCAACGTAAGTTCACACTTTGCATATTCAAATATTTACACTGATTTTTAATAGGAAAAGCCTGTACAAGGATGTATGATTTCATGACGTACACTTGTGTATATCGCTTACTTGAGGAATTAGTGTATAAAAGTTTGGCATCAGTAAGATTTTTTATGTTTTTATAAAAAAGTTTCTTATGCTTATAAAGGCTGCATTTATTTGATAAAAAAATCGATTGTAATATATTTTAAAATGCAATTTATTTCTGTGATCAAAGCTGAATTTTCAGTATCATTACTCCAGTCTTCAGTGCCATATGATCCTTCAGAAATCATTCTAATATGCTGATTTCTTATCAGTGTTAGAAACAATATGTTTTCATGGAACCAGTGATACTTTTTTCACGATTTTTGATGGATAAAAAGTTAAAAAGCATTTACTCAAAATAGAAAAGACTTACATTGTTAGAAAATATTTCTATCACTTTTTATTGATCCAAACATTCTTGCTGAATAAAGAAGTATTAATAAAAAAGAAAAGAATAAAACAAAAAACATACTGACCCCAAACTTTTTAATGGTAGTGTAAAAAAATACCACTGGTTTCACAAAAATATTTTACAAATATACAAAAATATTAAGCAGTACAACTGTATATATACCTCATATTACACTGTTACACATATTACACATATTGTACTGACAACATTGTTGACTGTCCACACTGTTGTAGATTTACTTTGATTACCATATTAAGTTTGTTCAGTCAAAAAGCTGATGAATAGTTAACTACCAGTGGTTGATTTTAAGTGTTCATTTAACATAGTGGCTTTTAATAACAGCTTTATAGAACACCATCACATTTAAAAACTACTGGTGCTTTAAATAATTGACAAAAAAGGTTTTGTGTTAGTTCCCAAAACACATTAGTTATATCTGATATGCAGTTTATTTCTCTGGGACTCTGGGTATTTCTAATTTATCTTTTGATGTTTCTTTCATTTCAGCAGAACACAAAGATTTCTCAATCACTGGATGTTCTGAAACCGAGAAAGAGTCTATGACTGGATCTGACGGAGAGGAGGTGTGGCATGCTGACTTTAATCAGAAGACAGGAGTAGTTACATTGCCTGATTTTGCAGATCCTACGAGCTTTCCAGGATTTTATGAAGTGAGCCTGGGAGACCAAGAAGTATGCAAACAAAACTTGGCTGTACTCATAAAAGCTTACAAGAGCCCACCAGAGGAAATGGGTATGGCATGAATTGAGTTTTACAGTAATACATTTCTTAGCATTTACATCAATCTGTTTGGTAACTGCTACATGTTATGCATTCAGTGTTATCAATATGTTGGTTAAGTACGAGTTTTGGCTTGCAATTGTATTTAATATGTATGATATTAGTTTTCCTATGTACAGATTTTATTTGAATGAGGTCAGATGTACTACTGACTGCAAAGTTCAACACAGTTATGTATGTTCACAGAACCCCCTGAGACGTCCATCTATCCAAGGAACGATGTGCAGCTGGCTGTTGAAAACACGCTCATCTGTCACGTGACAGGCTTCTTTCCTCCACCTGTCAATGTCTCATGGACTAAGAACAATGTCGTTGTGACGGAAGGCGTGAGTCTGAGTCAGTACCGACCGAGGAGCGATGGAACCTTCCACGTGTTCTCCTCTCTGAAGATCACTCCTGAAGAGAGAGACATTTACAGCTGCACAGTGAACCACCGAGCCCGCAGACCAAAATATGGAGTAAGAGCCATTTACTAATTAAATCAAAATACAATCAATTTTGTTATCACCAGTTGTTTTTTGCATGAACGATGTATGTATAAAAACAACAGTAATCATTCTGTGACAAATGAAAAACCAAGAGCTGAGTGGATTTCTACAATGAAAAGCTGTTCTAACGTTCACACACCTTACTCTAATCCCCAGGCGTCCCGGAGGTGGCTGCTGTCCTGCCCAGCGTGGGTCCGGCAGTCTTCTGTGGAGTGGGATTAACTCTGGGGCTGCTGGGAGTCGCTACTGGACTCTTCTTCCTTATTAAAGCAACTACAACTGACACGCCAGATATGGCCAAAAACATAAAACATTTAATGCAGTGGACCCAATCAATAAAGACAGTTCCTCCAGGATTCTGAAGACAGAGAAACAGTGCATCTGTGTGTCGTTTTAGATGTTGGACAGCATTGCTGCTGTTGAAGACTGATCAATGCAAAGATCTGGTTTAACCTTTGTTTAAATTGGATTTGCTTGCTATGTAGCACTAATCATGCTTATATCTAGAAGACTTTTTGTTTATATATTACATTTGCAGTTCATCATAAGTAATCTAATTAAATCACAATATTTATATTGAGTTACTTAATTAAAATAAGACACTTTTGCTACTTTCATGCAAAATGTATTTGATTTTGTTATGAACTGAAATGTTTATTGTTTTGTACTTAAAATTATGCCAATAAAAATTAAACACGTTTGAGAAACTTTTACAATTATAAAGCAGCGGGGGGAAAAAAACAAATTTTTGTATGTTTTGTGACATACATTCCAAATAAAGATTTAACTGTCTATGTCAGTGTATCGCTTTGGATATTCAACTTTCCCTGGAAAAAGCTGTATTAAATAAAGCATGGAGAGACAGAGGGACTGAGGAGAAATGGACACACAGAAGGATCTTTTACAGTGATATAAAGCCAGTCCACCTGTAGACACACCCCTGAATTTTAGACATGTTACATTGCCAGATGGGTAACACTTTATAATAACTTTCATTGTTATTGTGTAATAGATAATTAGTCAATATATATTCAAAGAGCTACATGTGTGAGGCAATGTGCTTGTAAATGTTTACTAATGAACTTATTGAACATTACATAATAATTAACAGAACATTGATTGATGTAAATTAAAGTGCTTACAAATGTTGAACATTCTAATCATACAACTATGATCACGCACTTTATAAAAATCTACAAGTTATTTTAACAGATGTTATACACTGATTAGCAGCCTATTTTATTCATGTGCATTTGAATGCTTAGAAATTATCAAATTGATTTATATATCAAATGCACTTTTTTACATTTACACATTTTCTAAAAACATTATTTTAGAAATCATATTAAACAACCAGTTGAATGACATTTGTAAGCATTCAAATGCATGTTAACCCTTTCACGTGTGAGTTTCAAATATTCTAGCAGTTCTTAAGGAGACCATTATTTTAGAATGTATCATCTTATTTCCATGGCGACGCGTCATGCTTGTCACGTGACACACCGCAGCCACAGCAGCTCTGTACAGGTCAGGGGTCTCCAAACTCGGTCCTGGAGGGCCTCAGTCCTGTAGAGTTTAGCTCCAGCTCGCCTCAACACACCTGCCTGTAGTGTCTTGTATGCACAGTAAGAGCTTGATTAGCTGCTTCAGGTGTGTTTGATTAGAGTTGGAGCTGAATTAATATCATCTGATATTCAGATTCTCAAATACGTGCAAGTGAATGTATTTTGTCATTTAAACACCTTTATAATGATCTTGTTAGCTGCATTCCAGTTCGTTTCCATCTGCCCTTCCCTCACTAACTTCCCTCCGTCTCCTGGACTCAGACGTACGTCACTGATTTTGTTGCACAAGTGTCCACTACTGGCTGATCAGTTGATCACCTTGATCATTTGGAATCTGATAAGGAGTTGAATTATTATTACCATTTTTCCCTTATGAATTAGTTTGATGCAGCATCATGTATACAGATATTGTTTGGGCTGTTTTAAATATATAAAAGATAATTCATATATCACAGAGTTGTTTGAGGTGGGGGTCTGTCCATATAAACTTCCCACGTTCACTTCACGAAGTGGAACACACTTCAAAAAGGCAGCGGGGATTCACCTGAGAGTACGCGCTTAGGGAAGATCACGAGTGCATGTCTAAAAGGGAAGTGGAACGCAGCCCGGGTTGTTATAGGAACTAGTTACCAGTGTGGTTCCCAGACAACTAAATGTTCTCCTAAGACCATTCCTGGTCACATTTTAATGATTTAATCATGATAGTTATTATAGAGTGTTATCATGGATTTAAAAAGTAAAGAAAAGTGTTTGTGTCCTCCAAAACTGGAGAGGTTGTTGGAAGCTTGCATTTTTTTTCAGGAATGTAAGTAAAAAGGTCATTATGTTTAATCAAACCATTATTTATATTTTTTGAAGCGTGATTTTAAAATGAAAGCAGGATATTACTCAGCAACACGTGACACATATGCAAACAGTGTCTGATTGGACAGTTGTTTTAGACTCTCATCTCTTCATCATGAACAGAGTATTGTCTTCTAATGCCATCTGGTGGGGAAAAATGACATAAAATTGCATTTTATGATTACAGCCACTAGAGGGGCCTATAGAATCATATGGAGATTCTTAAATGAGCCAAACAAGTGAAATCTTTTAAACTACACCAACTTGAGGCTTCATTAATATATATTTCAGATATATCTCAAGGCTTTCAGATATATATCAAAACATTTAAAAAACTATATTTTGTAAAAAATAAATGAAATTGTGTGAATATGCATGTGTTTGGATTAAAATTCAGTATCAGTTTCATAAATATGTAATAAATATAAAAGATAAATTAAAAAATATAAATATGATATAAACGCATTGGTCTCCACCCCATCACTCAAATGTAACTGTGTTAAGTCAAAAAAAAAATCAAAATGACAGTAATTTCCCAGCAGAAACATCATAAATGCTATAATGTGTTTCAATAGGAGTGTGTGTTCCATGTGTCTGTTTGTGTGTGTGGGTATGTGAGCTTTTTGTGCATTATGGGACATTCTGCAGTCTCTGCCATTTGTTTAGGTATGCATCTTTACTGGATTGTGTCATATTTTATATAGTAAAAAAAATCAAATGCTATTTTTTTCAGACATTCCATTCATTCCTATGGCTGGGTCAAAATGACCCGCGAGGGACACTTTTGTTACTTTTTTATTACATCTTATTTTATTACACATAGAATCCTCGAATCGACTCAAACATTTTTGTGTGCGCTCCATGCTCAAGTGTGACAAAATTAAATTTAAAAAAATCTGCAGTTTTTTCATAAATTGTGACAAAAGTGATAAAGTCTCATATCATAATGATCAATGCTCGATTTTTTAAAAATCTTTAAAAATGAGTTTTGGGTCAAAGTGACCCAAGGGACGGATGAGGTTAAACACTCACCGACAGCAGAATAAATACATTCAATACACGACAAGGAACAAAGGCAACGATATGGCTACTTATAGCAAACAAAGAGGGTCACATGACATGAACAAACCAATGGGAAACAAGACGCATAACCTGCACAACCAATCAGAACATGACACAATGAACAGAGGAACCAATAGCATGAAGACAAGAGGGCAAGGGAAACATGACACTAACAGCATGAAACAATTACAAAATAAAAGACATAAAAACATGACAAAACCCAAAACATATAATATCAAAACATACCCAAAACATGTTTAATAGTAATGACTTTATGAATTGCCCCTTGGTAATATTCTTAGAAAATACGGGATTAGTTTCCACTGTTATGCTGATGATACTCAACTATATATCTCAACAAGACCAGATGAAACTTCTAAATTACCTAAGCTAACAGAGTGTGTTAAAAATGTAAAAGATTGGATGACCAATAATTTTCTCCTATTAAATTCGGATAAGACAGAGATATTATTTATTGGACCAAAAGACAGTACACAGAATCTCTTGGATTTCAATTTGCAACTAGACAGGTGTACTCTCTCTTTCCCTCCCCCTGGCCGCCTCCGCTCCACCCTGCCGCACCACTGTGGGTACGTCAAAGGTGGTCGTCCTGTTGATATCCCTCGCACTGAGCATGTTAGCATGGCTCACGCTCCCCCTGCCCTGCTTACACAGAAACGCATTATGGCCAGCGTTCAATACCAAGATTGGTTTGCGGCGGTAGACCTGAAGACCGCGTACTTTCACGTCTCCATTTTACCTCAACACCGCCTGCTTCTACGGTTCGCGTTCAAGCTTCCCAGTACAAGGTCCTCCCCTTTCGGCTGTCTCTGTCCCCTCGCACCTTTACGAAGGTCGCAGAGTTGCTCTTACTTCCCTCTAAGGCAGCGGTTCTCAATTCCAGTCCTCGCACCCCCCCGCTCTGCACATTTTGTATGTATCTCTTATCGCTTCAGACGTTTGTTCTATTCAAGTTTCAGTCTATTTATATAGCACGTATAAAACAGCCATACGGCTGAACAAAGTGCTGTACAGAAATTGTAAATAGTAAAAAGAATATAAAAATCTACACAACTACACAATTAAACGGGGTCTCGCCCTAATTATAAAATAAGTAATTATATTAATAACACAAGAGAAACCAAGTATTAACCCATAAAAGACTGAGCAAAGACCATAATAGAAAATTGTTTGTAAGCCAAACAAAACAGATATGTTTTTAGGAGAGATTTAAAAGTGGATAGAGAAGGGGCAAGTCTAATTTCTAAATGGAGGCTATTCCACAGCCGCGGCCCAACCACTGAAAAAGCTCAATCCCCTCTACGTTTGAGTCTGGATTGTGGGACTAGAAGAAGATTCTGATCACTGGATCTTAAGCTTCTGGATGGAGTATATGGGTATAGTAATTCAGATAAATAAATAGGGGCTAGATCATTTAAAGATTTATATACAAATAAAATAATTTTAAAATCAATTCTGAATTTAATAGGCA